GACAGAAATGACAATTTCATACATAAGTAGGAATATTTGTCACTGCCGTAGAATATCTGAATCTATATGTCAAAAAGTGCATCTTCAGATAATATTAATATTTTCTTAGATTGGTTTACAAGTCATGATTACAAGTCATGTAAAGTCATGATTATTAGAGGTCATTCTGGACCAAGATATTTTAGGTGTTGTTTAGTTTGTTGAAGCAAGGATCATCTGGCCAGTTTATTGCTTGTAAGCTTCACGTGAATGTCTTCCTCAAAAAACTTTGAAAGAATGATTTGATATCTTCAAGCACCAGTTTGTTCAAGTAGACATGTGCACTGAATAACTTATCTATTTATTATTACTTGATTATTTTTTAATTTCTAGTTTAGTAGAGGATACAAAACTAGCGGTATTTTTGTATATTGACACTTCTTTTATGCAATGAATTTGATATAGATAAGATTCTATCTGGACTATTGGCATTATCCAATGACTATCGAAGGTCGAACCAAATTAATCATCCATGAAAGAGTCATCCCATGCCCATATGGCATATCCAAACTAATCTCGTCTTTGAACCAAATGTGGTCCCTCCTTCCTACTCTCTTTCTCTCTCAAGTGGTTGTAGTTTGTGCATATTCAGAAATAATTCAAAATCAAAAAATAAAAACTAGGATAAACAAGCTATGTTCAGATGTCTGTTTTCTTTCACAAAATTTGAATTGTTTGGTTTGGATGTAAGATGTTAAACCATTCTCAAGTTGGTTTTTCAAGGGTGAAACTCAATCTTGAAAGAACCGTTCTTGCAGATCTTAATTTTGAAATAAAAAATTAATGTATTATATGTATGACCTTGGATCCATGTGATAGATATTGAAGTCTATTAAACTTTGGTTGTGTTGCTCTGAAATTTTATGTTAAAAGTTTTCATGGCTGTTTCCTGTGAATTTATCTTCTAATATTTATGCACGTTTTTAGTTTTATATGGTTTTCTTTGTCTTCCAGTAGACTTCCATTTACAATGCTGGTACTACGAAGAGCAGTGAAGATGGTGTGGAACATTCCTGAGGTCTTGGAGGTAGCATGCATATTCATGCTATTCATGCTTTTATGGCTTGCACTTTGGTCCTTCGGTTCTGCTGGTGTTGTTGCTTTAAGTATTGGTGACAGTGGACGCTGGTGGCTTCTTGTGGTGAGCTGGCAAGTTTTTGCTCTTCATTTCGTCTTCTTTTGGCAGAATTGCAACATAGATTTCTATTAAACCATTCATCTAGCGACACCAAAAACTGTTCTTACTTGTATGTCAGGTTCTGTCTGTGAGTTTGTTTTGGACTGGTGCTGTTCTCTGTAATGTTGTCCATGTTATAGTGTCTGGAATGGTGTTTCTTGTCCTTATCCATGGTGGTCGAGAAGCAACATCAATGCCTCCTAAACCTCTGATGAAATCTTTGCGCTATGCTTTCACCACTTCTTTTGGAAGCATATGCTATGGATCACTCTTTACAGCTGCTATACGAACATTGAGATGGGAGGTAGGCAATCCAATGTTGTTTGATTTGATTTGAGTACTAATACTTATTCACTGGTGAGTAATGACATCACGCTCACATGATTCATTGCACGAGTTGCAGCAGTAATAACTAACAATGGGCTTGAATGTGTTTTACAGATTAGGGGATTGAGGTCAAAGATCGGTAAAAATGAGTGTTTGCTCTGCTGCGTTGATTTTCTATTTCATCTGGTAGAGTTTTTAGTTCGTTGGTTCAACAAGTATGCTTATGTCCAGGTAATTGTTCAATTTATATTCCGAAAGTTCTTCTCCTTAAATGTTTCATGCCACTGTGACATTTATGAGACAACATACATGTGGAACTGCATGCTTGGACTTCGATTGGGAATTAATGAACTTCCTATAGGATCTTCATGCTTTTGTACAATAAACTATGTGGTTAACATGGACCATTGAAACAAGAGAAAAGAAGCAGAAAGGATTTAGATGTGAAATGAGAATGCCAGTTTAGCAGATCCTTCATTTTTGGGATAAAGTATATAAAGTAAGAGGATTGGATCTATCATAATCGTTTCTCCCTAAAATTTGATTTGAAGAATACCCTTTGCTAAGGGGGTTGAGGGGTGGGGGTGGGATAGATGGACTGGGTTTACAATCCTTGTCCAAAATTCTTTTGTTGAACATGGAAACACCAAATAGAAGGCAAATTTTTATTTCTGTTGGAATGAGAACTTTACTCTATGGACACTGGGAGAAAGTTTTATTCTGATATATGTATTTACTAGTTAAAACCCGTGAATGCAGCATATGATGATGCTTTTTCTTTCCAGATCGCAGTTTATGGGAAAAACTTTAATCACTCAGCGAAAGATGCGTGGGAGTTATTTCAATCAACTGGTGTTGAAGCACTTATTGCTTATGACTGTTCAGGTGCTGTTCTATTGATGGCAACGCTCTTGGGTGGGCTTATTGCTGGAACTTGTGCAGGAGTTTGGGCGTGGATTAAACATTCCGATAGAGTGATGATGGTGGGATCTACAGCCATGTTGATGGGAATGATCTTGGTACGCTTACAATACTTGCTCGATTCGTCTCTCTAATGAATTTAGAATATAATCTCTTTTAAATTTTATCAGCGCTAACTTATGCTATACAAGTTCAACATCTGCAGGTTAAAAACATTGTTAGTCACACAACTTGTAACGAAGTTTCATGTTAGTCACTGGACTTTATTTTAATCCAAAGTGATCAGCCAAGTTTGCTTTGTTCTCAGTTTGGTCTCTCAATTAAAATCTGTTAGTTTCTCTTACAGAATGTGTGGTGTGAAAGGCAGATCTAGCGTGCTTCAACCTGGAAGTCTTCCACGTCTGACATTCTGCTAGAGAAAGTAACGAATTTTGACTGATTGATCAAACTGAAACCGAAAAAAAACTTCATCCACTACTTTGAAACAATATAAGCTTCGCTGACTAAGATGTAACTTCACTATAAACTGAACTAACATGTAACTTCGCTATAAACTGAGTAACTAACCGTATTTTTACCCTACATCCGCAATAGGTTTAGAGACGCAACGTATTGATTTCTGGATTTTTTGAGTGCATAACTACTAAAGAGGCAATGATTCTTTTACATTGGCCTGTTTTGTAGCTAAGAAGCATGGATATGTACACGACACGACACAACACAACACAACACAACACAAACATGTCGATACATAATTTTTTTTTTAAAAAGTAGTACATGGACATGGAATCATACATATCTTGGACATGTTGATTTGAATTTTTTAAAATTATACATCTATATTGACATAGCACACACACAAACAATAACCTACAACTAACGAAGATGGTCAAGAGAATAGAAAGAAAAAATAAGAAAGAGGGGAAGTGCAGAGAGAATTGAGGGACAAATCCCTGTTGTTTTATTCAATATTGAAGTGTGTTTATATAAGAACTAACCTCCTTTTGTTAGGGCTAAAACTAAGCTTAATAAGGTAACAAAGTTAATAAAGTAACAAAATCACTAATGAAATAAACTTAAATTGGAAATAAAAGAAAACCCTAATAAATTAATTTTTCTATGCATAAAGTAGACTTTGAGGGTTGCATCATATATAGTATACCTTTCATTTCTAGAAAATCAATACTTTTTCAGGTTTTGATTTTTTTGGGTGAAAATCGATTAAATCATTTAAGTAGCTATTTTTTATATTAAAATAACATGTACTATGTATATATTACTACTGACAAAGAAAGAAAGATGCATATAGCAGAGAATTGATTCATGTCGGTGTCTGAGAAAATTTCCTAACAGGAGTGTCCGTGCTTAATAGTTGGGCACATATGTTCTCTCATTGCAGATGAATGGCTTACTGCTTCTATCTGCTAATGGATGTCGTATTCTACTCTCAGGTTGGCTTAGCAACTGTAGTTGTGGAAAGTGCAGTAACATCCATTTACATATGTTATGCAGAAGACCCCTCTTTAATAAACAGGTGGGATTCAGCCTTCTTTACTCAAATCTCAGAAAAACTACATCAGCGATTGCAACATAGAAGTGCAAGGGCAAGGGAAGTATTAAGTCATAATATAGATTACCAAATCCAAGAAGCAGGTACTATTTGACTTCCCTTTTTTACAACTAAGCACAGTGCTACTGTTTATTGCAATTTATGGACAGAAATTTACAGTACGATAGATCATATAGTGACTTATTTTTTCGACTCCAATATTGTCATTGCAATACAATTCATCCTGCTGAACAAGATGTAGAATACACTAGCAAATGCCCCATTCAAAATTTCAATTTAATGCTCAAAGATAGTTCAAGGGGTGGTCGACTGTTTGTCTTGGCAGGATGCTTGTCACTGCACTTGGCTGAATAGATCTTTACTATCCTCGATTCATTATCAACTCGATGATCAGACTCCTGTAGATTAACGTATATCGATTTCTTTGAGACATGTTTTGTACTAGTTTAATGAAACTGAATCTTCCAAACTTCATATGGACCATGATATGGATGCTAATTTGATTGTTGTTTCTCATTTCCTTCCCTTGGTATCTCTTTATTCTTTGTGATATTGACCACATTTTGATCTCTATTTTCATCGTGGTGGGTTGGTCTGGTATGAGAAGTTATGGGAAAGAGAGCCTATTACAACATCTCTAATTCGTGAATTTTTAATGATTGCTGTGTTCTCAATCAGCGTAAACCTTGCAAATATATATTAGAGCATTGCTAGGGGTACATCACCCCATACATAAGGGTCTACACCCTTTTCACATGGGGGGTGGGATCCGCTCGAATAAAAAAAAATTATTTCAATGGGTCACACCCCTCATGTGAGGAGGGTGTCGACCCTTATGTACAATTCTTGTTGTACAACTAGAATAATTCTATATATTATTATTGTTATACACTAACATTCGGAGAAAATAATAAGCTACACAAAATTTACATATTAATAACTATTTAATACAAATTAATCCAAGAGTCAGTTTTTTTCCACCAGCTTCTGCATTTTTCCTCTCTCATTGTTCTTCCTTCCTGCAGCCATATTTTAAACAGAAAATTTCATTAATTAATAACACCGGATGGAAAATTAATTAGAGAAATTAAATAAAAATGCACATACTTGGTCTATAATTTCTTCTTCTACTAGACTTGACAATCTGTGGTATAAAAACTCCAGTTCCATTGCCTTTTCCGTTAGTTTTCCACAAGCTCAATAGCCATGGAGGAGTCACATGGTTCTCTGTCCAGTTGTAATGACATCTACACTGTGGCACAAAAGGAGGGCTAGTACTTAACCCTTTTCTCCGGGCATCGACCGAGCTCGGAGATCTAACGTTAGGATATAATTCTTCGTCGTCTGCCGTCAACTGCAAAACTTGCCTTCTAAGTTCTTCATAGAAAACATCATCTTCATCTTCAAATTCATCATATGAATTTGTAATTTCTTGCACAAGACTGCAATGCATATCCATTATGGGAGAATTGATTTCAGTGTGTTTGGTTTTTCACATGATTATGATATTTATAGTTAAATTAAGTAGGATTTTGGTCAAAGTTTGAGGCAAGTGGAATATAGTCTTGTAATGGATCTCCAATTGGCTTCAAATGCAAACAAATATGCCAAGTTTTGTTTTATTTTTACACGTTTTCCATAATAAATTTATTAGTTCTTATGTCATGCTTATACACAAATAATTTGTCCCGCTATACATCTAATGATATGATGAAATCATATTGGGACTATATTTTTCTTTTGCACTGCTTTTAATTTTATCAAGGTATTTGCTTATTATTGCAATTATTTCTCTGCCTTCTTTTTGTCGCAATGTTCTCCGGATGATGATTTTTTTATGTCTAAATATTCAATTAGTGTGCTTTAGAAAATGAGAGACAATTTTTTTTTCTCGCATTTTGTGTTTGTTATTTTTTTGTATATTTAACAATATGAAGGGGAAATGAATATTTTTACGCCTCCAATGAACTTTTCGAACAGAACCGTCATCAATGACAATACGTGCTAATTATGAATGGTTAACTATAAGAATGCGACGAAAAAAATTACTAACATAAGTACGTCAATAAACAAAAGATTGAGAACCTTTAATACGATTAAAAAGTGATAGAGTGAAAGGAAATTATTGTAAATTCAATTTCCAAAATAAGACCAATCACTCAAATTAATTAAACTGACTAATTATTCTGCATCCAGTATCGAATTTTATAAATTTTGCGTTTTACTATCGAGTATCGTTTCGATTACGGTCAATTAGTTTACTAATTACTTGGCCGTTTAGGGAAAAAATGATTATGATTCCTTCAAGTGACATTTGGAGAGTACTGCTACTAAATAACCATTGGTTTGACAACTACTTTGTTATACGTATATATATATATATATAACCACATGTCCACATCGACACAAAATTCACTTCACACAATTTCAACCTTGCCTCGATTGAAAAGCAAAAGAAATACTCTTTGTATAGTTGAGACCCCGTGGTTTCTAAACACTCGCAACTCCTCGAAGAGCCTCAACTTATTTTTGTTCGAGGTTAAAAAGGATGACTCTCAATCATGGACAATTATTGTGCAACATTATTCGAAGTTAGGAGTACAATAATATCGGTACTCATTTTGGAAGAGGCGAGCCTCCAATGGAGAAGCTGTATGCATGCTCAACTGACCTTGTATTCGCCGGGATCTGGTATGAGAAGTTATGGGAAAGAGCATATTACAAATGAAAACATAAATTTTTATTTGGGTATAGACGGTATCTCTTTATTCTTCGTGATATTGACCACATTTCTGATCCCTATTTGCATTTTAGTGGGTTTGTCTGGTATGAGAAGTTATGGGAAAGAGCATATTACAACATCTCTAATTCGTGAATTTTTAATGATTGATGTGTTATCAATCAGCGTAAACCTTGCAAATATATCTTATTATTGTTATACACTAATGATATGGTGAACTTTTCTAAGTTAATGAACTAAAAAAATATTCGAATCAAATAGACTCTGATAGTATCAAAATATAATGTTAGTTTCTAACTACTCCTTATCACGCAAACGATATGGTGAACTTTTCAAATGACTAGCTTTGTGGCATTGGTAATTTAATTTTGTAGTTTTAGTCGAATTAGACTTAATTTCAAGAAAATAAGGAAGTTTTTATATTAACTATTACTTTGAATGTTTGATTTGTTTTGCCCGCATCCAAATGAGTGTGACATGTCAAACTTAGAATGTGGCGATCCCTCAAATTTCGCGATTGAATTTTCCTTGATGGAGAGGAAATCACTATTATTGGATAAGGTAAGTGTATTATATCCAAAGTATGAAATGAAAATACATGAGCACAGGGTTATACCCCAGAAAAACAAGGCAAGAAAAAATGCTTCCTAGCACAAACAAAAAACAGTACTAATAACCTAGTCACAACAATAAAAAATATCCGCAGAAAGACCTCATGAGCGTTGGGACCATCTATTCTCAGCAGATGGAACCAAGCCCCTACATAGATTCATACGTGCACAAACAGAAAAAACAATGTCTCGATAACAATAGACTCATGTTTAGGAGCATCTCCATGGGTTCTAGAGTTACGTTCACGCCAAATAACATAAATCGAAACTGCAAATATCAATCGAATAACAACGGAGCGCACTGATCTTCCACGAAACTACTTCATCCAAGATAGAGTTTCTGCCCAACTCCGCCGAACCCAAGGCAAGTTACATTTAGCATGCATAGCATGCCAAAGCGCTCAGAAAATTGGCAGAGGAAATCACTATAATGTTTCCAGTGATTTTATAAGGTAGTCACTCCACAGGATTTTGTTTGCTGCAAATTTGGAGATTAGATTTAGAAAAACAACACAAACTAAACAAACATATTAAAAGTACGGCATTCATAATCCACGATGTTGCAGTCTTGCTACAATTTCAACCTACAGTATTGCAGTGTCTTGATCAATGAAGTGCAAGACTGTGCGTCTTTTTATATCACATACGATAGCATAACAAGTAATATAGTAGACTTTTGAGTTAGGATAATCGTTCTCAAGAGGACTACAATTTAATACTTAATTTAATAATTCTAACTCCTATTCAATGAAAAAACAAAGAATTATGATTTGGTGATTTTTAATCTAATTACTTTTAACTAATTGAAAGCATCAAAAATTCACACAAAGATCGAATTGATGTTTCAAATATGGAATGGATATCAGGGCATAACAATTTCATCTATTGATCATGATGCGAACCCACGTAGTAATTGAAACTATGAAACCCACGATAGATTAGATAAAACTCAAGAAATCCAAGAATCAACGTTTGAACGAAAGCTCGACCCAATAAATTATTGATCCAAAGAACCAAGATAATTGTAACAATATATTGACCATGTGATCACAAAATTTATGAACCTTACTTGAATTGTTGAACGCCACAAGAATTTAATTCTTGATAAGTTCGAAATTAATTGGATGAAAAACGAGAAGAAAGTAATATGTCTTTCAATAATATATCTCAAATTATGTGTTTTTACAATGAATAGAATGAGTCATATTTATATGGAATCCATAAAACCTGCTTAAAAATGAATTAAGCCTTAAAAAATAAAAAAAATATACAATACAAGAGTTTTAACTGAAATTGAATTTTAGGCGAAATTTGAAAAATACGCATCCAGAAATGTACTATGCGGCTGCATAGGCTTTCTGCATGCGGTCGCATAGGCTAATTGACATCATTCAGTTTTGATTCGATATGGAGGCATGCGGCCGCATGCCTATTTACACTATGCGGTCGCATAGTTTCCCATTCAGCTCCTTCGTCTATTGCTTGAACCAAGTTGATCTATTTGGTTTCTTCTTCCAAACTCAACATGAAACTTGTTCCTTACTTGTTGTGATCGATGTTTCATCCATTGTTCTTTTAACAAGCAATCACATAGCTTCATTGACCTTCTTTATCCGTGACCTCGTCATTGGTCCTTCCTCCACGATCAACAGATCCATGCCCTTGCTAGCTTTCATACCTTGGATCTCATCATTTCCTTCCTCTTCAATTGGATTCGTCCTCGAATCTCCACTTGCATCAAATAAGGAAATGTCAGAAACATTAAAAGTAGCTGAAATGTTATACTCACCTGGAAGGTCCAACTTATAGGCATTGTCATTGATCTTTTCAAACACTTGGAATAGTCCATCGTATTTCGATTGCAACTTTGACTTCCTTTGAGCCAGAGAATGTTCATTTCTCATATGCACCCAACCCCAATCTTCTGGTTCAAATGTAACATGTTTTTTCCCCTTATTTGCTTGGGAAGCATGATGTTCATTTTTCTTCTCAATCTGGTACCGTACCTTCTCATGGAAGGATCTTACCAATTCTGTATTCTTCTTTCCATCTAAGCTACCTCTCATCAACAGGTAAAGAAATTAAATCTAAAGGTATTAGTGGATTAAAACTATAAACAATTTCAAACGGAGTACAAGAAGTAATAGAATGCATAACTCTATTATATTCAAATTCTATGAATGTTAAGCAATCCTCCCAACTCTTCAAGTTCTTATTGACTATAGCGCACAATAGCTGTATCATAGTCATATTAACAACCTCAGTTTTCCCATCCGTTTGTAGGTGATAAGTTGTAAAGAATAGTAGCTTAGTTCCTAACTTACCCTACAAAACTTTTCAAAAATGACTAAGGAACTTAACATCCCTATCCGATACAATTCTCCTAGGTACTCTATGTAAGCGCACTACTTCCATAAAGACTAAATCTACAATATTAGTAGCACCATTAGTTTTATGACATAGAATGAAATGAGTCATCTTACTACATCTATCTACCACCACAAATATTGAATCTCTTCATTTCTTAGTCCTAGGTAAACCCAACACAAAATTCATAGACACATCAACCTAAGGTTTACTAGGAAAAGGTAATGGAGTATATAAATCATGAGGTAAAACCTTAGATTTAGCCTTTTTACAAGTGATGCACCAGATCAACATCAACTTTTATTTTAGACCAATAAAATTGTTCACCTAGCATGTCTAAGATCTTCTTAACTCCAAAATGATACATTAGACATCCACTATGTGTTTTACGTACTAATAATTCTCTCATTGAACATTTAGGGACACATAACTTATTTTCCCAAAACAAATATCCATCATGCCTAAAGAATCTATCCATAGCACCCTTCTCACATGAATTGTATATATTAGAAAAAATCTAGATCATTAAGCATACATGCCTTAACATATTCAAACCCTAACAATTTGTCACCTAAAGAAGTTAGAGGTACGTACCTCTTTGACAAAGCAGTCGCTACCATATTTTCTTTATCTTGTTTGTACAGAATAATATAAGAAAATGTCTCGATGAACTCCATCCACTTTGCATGTCTTTTGTTTAGCTTACCTTGACCCCTTAAATGTTTCAGGACTCATGGTCGG